TTTTATCTCTGTAGCATACTTCATTGTAAATGAATAAACGTTTCGTGTGGTGATTGGTAATGTCTTGGATACCGAAGTAGTAATTCTGTACCTTCATTTTTTCGATACACCTAAATCGCTTTTTATAAGTAAAGCAAGTTCATCTGAATTATTTCTTGTTTTCTTAATTTGTTCATTTGCTCATTTTTAGCCACATATTTTACTCACCATGTTTCAGGCCTCAATCCACATACTGTAGTACGCATACGTGCATAGTTCAGACACAGTTAGTTTAAAAAAATACCGGTAGCTTTTTGTAGGCAGTAATTTGGGTTCATTAATTCTTCGTTCATTTACCTTACTTCGTGGATTTGGGGCATTGATCACTTGGTGCGTCGAAGATTTTAACAAAAACTGACCGCAATCGGCTGACAAATGCATCTTATCACTCGCAATCGAGTGGCTGAGTGTTTCTGCATGATTTTGGGCTTCATTTATTGCTATTTTCTCTTACGTATATCGTAAATAAGATCACCTACAAACTACTGAAGGAGATGGAAACGAAAACCAAAATCCACGTTACCCAGGAAGTCTATTCAAACGTAATCTTGGTATCCCAATATCAGTAATCATAGCAAGGCGGTGATGGAGCTGGGGTTTTATCGCTGTCACTGGTGTGCTTTGGACTCTGTGTTCCGAGGTTCGAGCCGCACCACTGCCTCCCAAATCTGGTGTTAGGCAGCTTTGCTATCGTCCCATTCGCTATCACGCCTAACCTATCGGGGCCTTATGTGGTTCACCACTCCAAGTCCCGGGGTCTAGGTTGCCGGTTTCCATGACGGAGCAGCAGGTCTTCATGTCTAAGTGGTTTGTGCCATCTACTGTTCACCACACAAATATGTTGTGATGTGGGATTTCAGTTGCGTAAATGAAAGTTTCATAATGCTGTAGCAATAGGTTGCTGCACACAACGCGAAAACTTCAATCCCAAATAAAACTCTTCAGCATTCCTTAGGGAAGTTAAACAGCGTGCGTTCTCTCTAGCTTAAGAGCCCAACTACTATATATTCGTTGAGCAGGTGGTTTGGATTTTACTACGGGGTAAGATGAAACCTCTAAAAATTTTTAAACCTCATAGGGTTTTCCTATCCAGAAAGGAAAGTATGTGAAAGAAAAAAGATTGCGTAGTCAAGTTTTTTAATAAAACTATTCTTCATTTTGTAACTAGAAGTAAATAATGCAAGGTACGATGTACATCAAAATCAATGAAATCAGAACAATTATCAGTCAGATTTTAAAATTTCGTCAGATAACTCATCGACAAACTGTCGTTTTGGCTTTGGACTGACAGCCATAGAACATTTTATTCTTATGCCCAAACTTCAGTTCACCTAGTCTTGCAGAACCTCGCAGTGCATCAAACCTGATGTTGACTCCCTGTGAAACTCATCGATGGTGGACAGTGATTATTCCATTCAGGTTCAGAACCTGTTGCGTATTGCAATGAAATTTGTATCTGCGTTGCCGCTGCCGCAATCAGCTCACATCAAGAGTTATTATATCAAGTTGCATACATGAGTTAGAATTATTAGAAAAGAAAATACACCCCTACCACACTGATAAATGCAAGCGGCTATGAGGTCCGCTGGAAACTGAACATTCAGTCTCACAAATAGAATCTAAATCCTGACAACGTGTAGCAAGGAATCGCGTCACATGCCGTGGTTATTTAGTGTTTCTTTTTTATTTGTTCTTTATAAACTATTTCCTTTAATTCTGCAATCATATAAACCTGAACTGTTGAACTAAATCATAGCATCGAACCAGATAACCCAACCCAATAGATGTTTATACAACAAAGGTCAATGTTTTGTTTGATTATATTGTCGAAACTTTCGTGAGTCTTCTCGAAGCAGGCGCAGCGTACAAGTATAGGTACATGTATATGCTCGTTCGTGCACGTGAAATGGTAAGATAGTTTGTAAATAAAGCACGTCTTCAAAACAAATCAACTCATATATTCAAATAGGATAGCATTTTTGAAAATTTCAAGAGAATCAGTTCTGTTTTATTGCTACTTGTGTTGTTCTGCCGAAATTGCAATGGGACTATTCATTCGGTTATTTTGCAAGATAAAGATCGATGAATAGAGATCGATAGACGAGCTTGGGGTGGGCAGTGGTTGAAACGGGATCCAGGAACATTCAAAGCAAAATGATGGAACGATACATCTTATTCGACCTGAACACACTTCGACCTTGCTCACTTAAGAGGCTCTTCTATTCCGTGAGAATAATAAACGTAGTGTCGTCCCATTGTGCATCTGATAAATTGTTTTTTGCACCAGTCATTTTGTGTCTCAGTTCCAGGAAATAAGTGGAAAATTACCCGCTTCAAATTTGGATCACAGGTAGCGCGTTCATATAGGGAACAAAAACAAAGAAAATCAATAACCATAGGAACAACAAACATCTACACAGGTGTTTGTGCGGGGGACGGGAGAGATCTGTTTTCTTTTTTCTTGGCGCTTCCAGTTCATTTGTATGCGCTTGCTCATGCTCGAAGGAATATGTACATAATAGTAACAAATCTTAGGTTGCAAATGTGCGGAGGTTTCTGGGAGGAAAGGGGATATACAAGTGATGTGTCTGGAAGTTGAAAGAAGCAGGATAAATAAATAACGGGGGATTTTAAGAATAATAGCGCAATAATTCGTTCAACCTTGGGCGTGGTTTCCCTCACTTCATTTGTATTCACAGAACGGCATTGTTTACTGAAACGAAGGAAAGGCAATTAGATTAAATCTAACTGACCGCTTGTATACGGCGTTGCGCTTTCTAGTCATTCAAAGGACAAAGTGCAAAACCTTTCTCAAAGAGAAATAAACCGGTTTTAACTAACCCACTCAGTTTGAATATGATGGTTTTCTCGTAGGTGTAACCAGCTGGTTTTGATTATTCTTACAAATCGTATATGTTGAGTCAATTTCCCGTTAACTTTAGGCTCTCGGATGGATAAATGTTCAGCTTTGGATGTAAGTTAACAGACAAAATGAAACCAAGAATTACCATTATTCGGCCTTCTAAACAAAGCAAGAAATGAGGCAATTCTTCTGAAACCTTCACCTTATCAATAAGTAAACTTGTGTGATATAGTAAAATGAAACTACTATATGAAGAGGTACGGTTCAGATGTCCGAGCTACGAACCAGTGTAAAGGTCATTTGCCCAGTGGGTGAGTGGGGAGGGGGGGGTTAAGCACCTCAATTGTGGAAGAATAAAGTGTTCACAGGGGGACGAGGAGACTAAACTGACACCATACTGCACGCTCGTTGATGTGCTATCATCGGGGTCTAATTAACATTTTGGTTGATTCAGATTGGACAAAGGCAGTTGAGGCACCTGGAGGAACCTTTTTCGAGCACATCAATCGGGATCTGGGGATCGGATAGTGATGGTTTCTGCCGTAACTAAATTCCTCGTTCCGGATGCCTTGGGTTGATTGAAGTGAACATGACATACAACCTCGAGATGATTCTACGGATGCGAATACTGCCAAACAGATAAACCATTTTGTAAGGACTAGGTTTCTTATTTTCATGAGTGGGCCATTTTAGGAAATGTTCCTTAATACATTCGCGCAAATGTTTCTGGCCCTGTCACCTGAGTGTGGTGCGCCACGGACGCACTCAAAGAAGAAAACAAATCGTGGGCACTTTCTCGGGCCTCCTCATTTGGATAGAGTTTGGGGTCGGAAACGCATATCTTAGTTTAGCCACTGGTATCTTTCACTTTGGGACTGCTCTCGGCGAATGGATCAAACATTTAGCGCTCAAACCTCCTTAGAAAGGAATGTTTAAAGATAATTTATTCTTGGAAATGTAAGCCAATAGGGGAATCAGCTGGTATTGGCCATAAAGTTTGATGACATATATAGCAGGGTAAAGGTAGTCATGGAGATTTTCCAGGGTATCTGCATACATTTTCTGTTATATCCTGAGAGAAAACCATACAAAGACCTTACTCCACACATTTTTTGCCAATTTTAAAGAAACAATAATTTAACGGGATTTTTGGCTTAAACACAGTGTTGACTGTTTTCTCGTTAGTTCTGAGGATTTTAAATCATTCTTATCCGAGTAATAACACGCCACATAACCCCTCCCATAAATTAACCTAATGATAGTATTGCAGATCAGGAATAAAATTCTACTAGGTATGAACTCATTGACCACAAACGTTGTGCTACATTCATCTCTATGTTCAATGTGTTTATATATTGAAGGATCGATTTCACTAACTCACTGTCTCACGCAGTCAACATAAGCTTATTCAAACTGAATCTTCAACTGCAATTTTGTGGATCAGTGGTATACCTGTGGCAGATACCAACCAATTTATTTGTGGGACATGTAATTACTGTCATTGTTTAGGATAGGCTTTACATTTTTCTAACCCCAATCCAAAAACACTCACAAGCCGAAACAAGTATAAAACATTTATTTGAAAACGATTTTTATAAAAAATAAATAAATGCCCCGAAAATTGCATCAACAGGTGCAGTTTTTCTCTTGGTCAACTGTTTTTGAATATAAGTGCCCATTTTCATGACAACACTGTTTTATTAATCGTCTCATTTTCTCTTAGCATTCAATTTTTTCTATCAATAAACTGATAAGTTACAATAATTATCTACACAGTATGTATATGATAGCAGTTTCCTATGAGATTAATCGAAATAGGCACTGAAGAAATAACAGAGGAAGTTTACTCGATTCAAAGAGGATTGGGAATACCTTTGATAAACTTGCACGATGGGAACAATGAATTATCATCTACTGTAAACACCTTCAGTACTTGATTTTTCAAACACTTCCCGGATTGCATATGAAAACAATAATGTGTACAACGCGACGTTGTCAGGTAATGTGCAAAGAAATTTAACGATATCGATTTCCTTGTGCTTTTTTGTGTGGTTTTGGATATCACTGTGTTAAGGATTGAAAATTTAACTTACCGATTTCATCGATTCGAAGATAATACATGTGGCTTTCCTTGAGCATAATGATTCTGAGAGCTTGTGATGCTCCCCCCAACACCGCCGGGACCACCACCCATTGTGTTGTGCAATTTATTCGGCGCTCTCATTTTTGGTGAGGTGATCGATTGATTTCCTGTTCCTTGATAAGTTCGATATTCTTGACTCGCATTTGGCCCCCTTGTTGATTGATAGGCAGTTTGACCGCGAACGGGAATAGGCGGTGGTGCGCTATCTTTGTTCTGATCAACCGGTTCTCGACGATTCCGATCTGCGTTTAGGTTGATCGGTTGCGGATCAGGTTGGTTGTCATAATATCCCGGTTCCGAATGTTCTCCCGATTTTAGCCAAGCTACTGCAGTGCTTTCTTCCGGCAGTGGTTTGGGCGAACTGATAAGCTCACTTCGTGTGCTCGATCGATACGGCAATAACAGTTTGAGGAGATGTTTTTCCAGAATCTGCCTGAAATTTGATGTTTTACCCAAAGTAAGGGGTTCATACACATGTGCAATGACTTGAATGTGTGTGCACACTGTAAAGAATTGGAGTTATTGGAGCCTTTATAATTGTGAGGAAAATATTGATTGATTGACTCAACATTGCATTTGAAAATGATAAACAAATTGGTTGTATTACCAATGTTTCCTTGCTTGTCTTGGTTTTTTTCACTTTATTGTTCATGCGTTGTGGTTACAACAAATATTCTGCATCATTCAGCTGTTATGTGATCCTCTTTGGAACACGTATGGGGGTGTATTGGAAAGAGTAATAATCTGTTTTCACGAAAAAAACTAACTAACAGGTGGTCAGATGCACATAAATACCCCTCACCGCGAGGGGGACCAAAAGCAGGCACAGTGTTGTAGAAGCATTTTAGGAATACGTTTTCCGTATTATGATGTACAGAGCGTTTGTCTAATTTTCACCCCTGTATGACGTCATGTTTTGAAATAGTGGAACTCCCCTGAACTGACTTACCTGGTTTGATGATCATGTGACGGAATTTGCATTATTGTGGCCAGCGTTTCCATGCTAAAATCTGGATCGAGAGCCATTAGACCGCCGTGGACCCCGGAGTCTATCAGATTCTCGGCGTACTCATCCAGCCCGATTTGCTTGATCCAATGGATGACCCTGTCGTTACTCCACACAAGCAAATCTGAAGCACAGAATACACAGATTATAGTATTGCATTGTCATGTATTGCATTATATTGTGTTACATCGTGTTTTGTCATATAGTGTTGATCTCATCGTAATAGAATAACCAGTTATGACACATAGGAAAAGATTCCCAGCCACGAATGAATCACATTTCAATGAAAAATGAGAGGTTATTTCTATTTATAATAAGATTCATTACACACGAGCATAACAAAGTGGAACTTGACTTTTTGACATTTCGATCACTACATATACCTTCCCGTTGTTCCAGTTATTTCATATAGAGAATAGGTCGTGTAAAGAGCAAACGAAACGTGAACTGAAAAGCTATGAAGCCCTACTGTACAGCAGTGCGAATGCATCGACCCAACTGCGGATCGAATCCGGGGCCTCTCAGGAAAAACGTAAGTATGATATCCACCTGGCCACCAAATATGAGTTGTGCTATATTGTGCAAATGGTAAATGAAAAACGGTTTGATCAGCTGCCTGATGGCTGAGTGGGTAGCATGCTTGCGTTCTACCCATGAGGTCTGGGTTCGATCCCCAGTTGAGTCGTTAGATTCACTGCTGATGGGACCCAACCAAGTCAAAGTAGCTGTACAGAACTTCCTAGCTTTTCAGTCCACGCTTCGCTTGATCTATGCACGAGCAATTCTTTAAACAAAAATGAATCAGATCCCCCATTACTCTCATTCCATTAACTGTTAACTACGTACAACCCGTAAAAATACAAAACTCGAGCCCAGGACCTAACAGGCAGAACTGAAACGCACTATTCACTTGTTCAACAGGCATTCGTTAGGTGATATTATGCGCATATGTGTGTGGGCATTGGGGAGAAGTTTTTCGTCAACCAAGGGGGGCTTGGATTAGACGCTTCTGATCAGGTGGTTCGGGGGTCAATACAGATGGCTTCCGCTATGGTCAGATTATGCAGTCTAAAATATTTAGACCCGTTCGAAGGAACCGTATAAATGCGGAACGCTTCTAGTAGGTTAACAACATAGCCAGTGTCTGCCAAGTGAGCGAGAATCACAGATATGATACATCCGGAACCACCCTGATTCAGCCTGTACGAATAGTGTTTTTTCATGCGGATAGATAATTGCTGTACTATGCGACCGATGGGGAGTGCGTCGCAAACGCATCTGAATGAGTGAACAACCATTCGAGCGAGTGAAATCAGCAGTTTATCCTTATTCCGTATGGCTACCGGTGTCGTGAGATACTTGTGAGTAGTAGGCAACTTCCGATGGTCAAAATTATAACAGGACCATCAAGGGCCAAGTGATATATTTGGAGGAATAATTACTGACTGCTCTATACATTAACCTGTGTGTTGGAAAGAATTGCGATGGCACGTTTCTGATTAAGTTTTAGTGTTATGCATGCGAAATTACTGGCCTCCTATCAGTAGTCCTCAATACAGGAGTATCCTCGACCAGCACTGCTTTTTGGAATTATAATACCGGTAGCGAATCTTTGAAAGTGTGGCGAAATGAATGTGGCTTTTACCGCTCCAGTCAATCGTCCTGGGAGGTTGACTGGCCAGTTATTAAAAATGCAGATTACACTAGGTAATTATAAAATCACTTGAATCACATACCGTGTCCTTAAAGTTTTTCTATTTTGAATACTTTTAAATGATTATCACTGTAATATCCTTCATTTCGGGCTCTTTGGCGAGCTACCATATCATGCGATAATTTTTGCTGACATTACACTCGGTCTACTATGAGGAACGTTTGGGCCCGCCGATGCACAACTAAGACCCATCTAACTGAGCAGCTCTCAGTCAATCATGTGTTGCCCCACCCACGTGCCACATACCGAGCTGTGTGCTGGAGAATTCAAGTTCATTGTGAAAGACAGATGGAAAGACTAGCGAATCGACAAACATAACGCAAATCCTTACCCTACAGTAGAATTAAAATAGGTAGTTGTGTCTCGTTCTTGTGTTAAACAATTCACCGTCTTCTCCGTTATACCGTTGACACAAGTTTAGCTAAGAAGCTTCAAGTAAATCATTTTATGCATTATCGTCTCGTGCATCCATTAAAACGGATCCCTTTTCCGATTAGCTGGTTCCCCCACCTCTCTATAATCCCTCGACAATTTCGTGGGAAGCTTTTGGCACTGTCATTCCTTTTCAACGCTGGATCCTGATCAATAAAGTTGTCATTCATGATTCCTGAAAGAGACCCATTCAAAATGGCGATGTCTACTGGTTCACGACTATCATTCCTGGACATGCCTAGATAACGTCCATACCCTATAATGTGCATCCGGAATCCTCTGGATACCGATGAGAGTAAACATGTACCGAGCAACCTAGCACTGAAATAGTAAAACAAGCACACTTGATGGCTTTTCCTAATCTCCAACATTTTCTTTGATGCTAGTAAGACCAGATTTTTGGATGCCATATATGATCCTTGGTGCTGATTCCCTTAGGTCTTGGCTGACGAAGTGATTTGGGACTGGATGTCCACAGAATCAGGTAGAAGTAAAAATTTTATGCGAGTTCTAATAATGACCTGCTTTTAAGGTATTCAACTCTTGATCAATTGACTTGCTTATTTATGACTGAAAACTGTTTGTTTCTCATCCTTGTGTTCAATTTATTTAAAGCATTCCGTTTGAAACCCATATGTCTGGCGACGAGATCTGAAGTGACGAACCGCCTACAAAATAAAGGCCAACGCGATGGATGCGGTCTCGGAAATTTAACTTTCTAAATGATACAAACAATGGAACATCCCTAGGCAATTGCAATTAAAGTGTGCTACCTTATTCTATTAATACCGAGATGGATTGTATGATTGCTAACGTAGCTTGAACTTCATGTTGTTCATCTATTGTATGTTAATTACCTCTCCCCCGCTGTTTTTACCATGTTGGCTTCCGTTTCCCCTCTACCTGTTAAAGTTTACTCTAAGTCCTTTCTTCCACATTGCCTAGATGACCCCATTATTTTGTTATTTACTTGTTTGACTGATTTCCAGTTTCCGTCTTTACACACCCTCCAATGCCTAGTTGATTCACCCCGATGAACTGAAACCATTGGCACGCGCAAATCTATTCTGAAAACCACAGATCGTCAAATAATAATTGTCTGTGCACATGACCTCGTACTTCTTCATGCTGCTTTATCCAAAAGTTGGTTTAATCGATAAATGGTGATCCTAGGTGAACGTCGTAAGCACTGACACTCAAGCTCGTCTTAATTACGTAGCTGTTTCGCCATTATCTCAGAGATAACCATCACTGCAGTTAGAACAAACACAATTTGGCGGAACAATCGTTTTTCAGAAATTTTTTCGTAAACCATTGTTTATTATTTCGTTCGATAACACTGTTCTCTGAGTTCGTTTATCTTCCGCTCCTCTGTGTGAGGGCATAACGTGTGCAGAAGGACTGTAGTGAAAATCAAAGCACCAAAATATAGTGCGATGAAATGTTCTGCCAGCTGAACTGATTTAACGGTTGGCGTAGTGCATTAAACAACTCCTTCGACTTTTCATGATCTCTAAGTCCGTACCCGCGTTGAAGATTCTCGTCGTTTACACGAATGGATAATGATTCGACTAAAAATCAGTAATCATATTATCATAACTTATATGTGAGCAACTACATTGCAATAACCTTACCATTGTTCTTTTTTAGTCCCAAGCGACATGACTGGATGCGGTACGGGGCACATAGTGATAAATTCACCATAAATTCAGCGCCATTTCTGAACTCTACAGCTAACGAAAACAGTTTTGCTTGTTGTACATCCCTCAAGTCAGATTAATATTTTGGTGTTTGAACTGATTCCCAACCCCTGTTGCAAATGATGAACACTTTGTGATATTGCTTCCATACTGTCTTCCTTGTACGAGAGACTAAAAATAAACCTGCACCTTTTATTTAGTCCCTGTGTCCATCGGCCCATGCAAAATGCGAAAATATAAGCTATAGGTCGAACAAATAAACAAATTGTTCAGTGAATCCATTGTTCAACATTTAAGCTGCTTCATAACGATTCTGATCTACTGCATGGTGGAAACAAATCGGCTTGATTGGTATTTCAGTTACTCTCCTGACAGACCTACCGACTAAGTGTGTTATTTGTTCATCACACAAATTTCCACATCAAACCTATGCATCTTTGCTCTCCCCCGTCGCTTGCCCCCCTCTTCCTGGACTCGGTGTCCTCCGCCATTTCTCATGTCATGGTTCGCTTAATAGTCCCGTTCATACACATATGACCTCAAAGCGTTCTGTTTCGGATACACTCCCCACCAAGCTTGAGCAGATTAGACGGTTCGAACTCCAAAGCTGACCGTTTGAAAATTGCACACTGCAACGGCAGCATATCTTTTTCGCTCCAGGCTGAAGATCATAGCCCAACGACCGCACTGCCCTCATCTATACTGACACGCACCTAAGACTTGGCCAGACTGAGTAGTGGTACGCACGCATACACACGCCCAAAAATTGAACAAACGCACCCAGACACACCAGTGCATCGTCAACCGGAACGCCGGTCGAGCACGTGCGAGGCGTGAGCAAAGGGACGCGTACACCTCTCGGGGAGGAGGCAGATGGGTGGGAGAACGGACCGACGGAAAGACGAACAGACAGACAGACAGATGAATACGTTTCAATCGATTGATTTCGATCGCGTGTTCTACCATAGAGTAAAAATTATTGAACCGAGGCGGAGAAGATGGAGAGGCGTGGCTGAACAACGGATGCACCGCAGAAAAAGTACATAGGGGAACATGTGCTACGCCTGTGACATGTGCGGTTTAAAGGCGTAGTAGTACATGTTCAACCCAGTTGGTTGAACTGTCTTGATTAATGTGTTCCGTGACATAAATGAATGACCTTGAATTTCTTTCACGTCCCTACAACCCGATTACCCTGGACATCAAGGGGGTAGGTGGGTCAGATGAGATTAGCCTGTTCGCCGTCTGTCCCAAAGACTTGTCACTGATCACTCAAATCCTCCGATCATAGTGGTAGAAAATGATAACACATCTGTCATAAATCATTCTGAATGGTTGTTAACCAATCACTACGTTCTGGTACTGCGGAGGATTACTCATATGAACAATTTCAGCAAAAGATGTGAACTGCCTGTTACTCACGACTACTATTTGCTTGCAAGAGTTTCTAAAGATGGAATTTCTGTTAATCCAGGCAACAAATCTGGCGTCCTTCCTTCGGCCTCAGAATGCACTCCTGTATTAAAACGACAGTTCATTCGAAGCACCGGTTGCCAGCTAATAAATTTATGAATTCTCTGAATTTAATTTCACAAGATGTCAGAAGAATAACTTCACGTGATTCACAGAAAGAAAAATCGTTCTGCTCTTGGATACCATGTGATAGAACCATGGGAGCAAAACGCGATTTACTGCACAAGCAGCATAAGCCACATTACTGTTCAAAAAACGATAACTGAAACTTTCAAATACAGAATATCCGATTGCACAAAGAAAGAACTCGGAGAATACATTGTTTGTCGTCACGACTAACCGATAACCGAACAAGGTATAGTTCAAGACAGCTACAACATAGACATTGCGGAAAAGAGTTCAAACACTGCTTTGAAAGGAATGCGAAAGAGGCTAGACAAGCAGCAGAAGAGGTTAACGGAAGCTTTTCGGAAGTACCACCTAGCACATTCAACAATTGTTCCTCCATGAAACTAACTTTTCACTCGTTCCACAGCAAATGCCCCCACCAACCCCTGAGCCATTATCACGAGCCAATAGTTTCTTCGTTGAGTTCATGCAATAGACACTGTGAAAAAAACGAAAATGATTTCCCATCCCAGTAATTTTAGCAACAGAGTCTTGGTGATAGGAATATAGAATAGACTACTCAAGTGGGTTGCTGATCTCACCGGTATCATTTGATGTGCACGCATCGCGTCGCTTTTCCAATTCGATACGATCGTAATCCAGTCGCTTGAGACACATGATTCCATAGTACAGACTCAATCGATGAAACTGATCGATCATTTTCAGATGAACTCGTAAATCACGTTTGGTCAAATGACTGAGCATTCGTGCATCGACCAGACACTCCATAAACGCTGGACGGTACTGGGCAAGACCCAGGCTGGGTAACCAAATGTTCCCGACCCATTCGTGATTCAGTTCACCCTGAAAGATCAAAATTCAACATTACAAGCTTTTGTTTTCACATGTGATAATTTGTATGGTTTTGTGGATACAACCACTTTCACACAAGGGTATGTTTACCCGTTTTCAGTAGAAAACAAAAAGATTTTTTTATTACAACATCCATCAGATACAGTTCATTTTACATTTTTCTCACCCAATGTTTAACCAATTTCAATTTTGTCTATAGCATTTTGTCAGCACATTAAGCCGGGAAAAATAGTTACTGGGGCTTTTGCTCAACATCAAAATCAAATTTGAGCATTTTTGAAATGTTGAATTGATTTGATAATCCTTCCTGTCCCAACTTTACACGTAATCCTTGATTCATCCAGTCAACCATTGACACAGGACCGCCAGACTCGCGTTTCACTCTTTTATAGCTCATCAACAATGCATACCCACCGTCTAAGATTCAAACTCCGGGCTACCACCACCACCATCATTAACATCAACATTAACATCATCATCATCGTACAGCTTATTACAATGACGCAAACTTTCCTGATTGCTGCCGAGCTCAAAATGCAGATGAAGCAATTGAGAATGTTTGAAGAGGAGAGGAATTGGCGCTATTTCGAGACATGGCGACGGAAGGCGAACCTCTATGGTCAACACACAAAGTACTCAGTCCAATTGTGCATGCACACTTTTTCAAACGCTGTGATCTGATAAGAAATAACAATAGATGAGCCACAGCTGTCGGTCATCTGCTATGGTCTTGAGTGTCTCCAACCCTCCAGTACGGAGCTTTTTGGACCCCAACCCGGGAGGCGAGAGACACCTAACCTACCTAATCATTCAGTGACCAATCACATAGGAAATGTGTGTTACTACTGTGCCCACCAGATCACACTGGTTTTGACCAGAACTACCAATTTATGTTTATTCAGGTGTTGTTTGAAAGATATTCAATGATTCCTTCTTTTCTATTTGGATTGAAAAGTCGATGGGTGAAAAAGTGATGAACGGATACCGTCAGTTTAGTGAATGAGCGAGAAAACCTTTTTTTCCGAACCTACTCAGTAGGTATTAAATAAATTTCCGTTCCGTACGTGATAGAGAACCTGACCAATGTTTGAATCCGGTCCCACTGATGCTCGTGCGCAGTGTTAGTTTCGTAGTATGGGTCCGAATAACGCTTACTCAATTCATACTGTTCCAGACCATCAAAATGGCCAAACCTCCAACTATCACTCGGAGTGTTCATCCGCATTTCGTGATTGGTATCGTGTCCCTTTACGCTAGGTGACTTTATGAACTTAGCTTATAAAACCTTAAATGATCCGTTTAGAACAGTGAAATAGACGGATTTTTGCTGCAAATGGTTTCATTGTAGTCGGTACACATGAAATTGAAGCAAACGAAAGGTATCAGATAAACGCCGTTTGCTATCGCATCAATGGGAAAGTGTTTCACGGAGTGGGAGATTTTTTATGACTTGAGCTTCTTGGTGACAACTAATTCGGCATAACTGACATGATTTGGAAAACAAAGCGAATAAGACACGGTTGGAAGTCGACCCTTAATCCTCACAATGTCCACAAGTCAGAAAATGCTTCATTCCCTATCAGGTCTGCATTGTGCACATTTACGGTCTGTTTGAGGTAACAACCTATGTATAACAAGTCCAGCGAAAATCACACATCCCGTTGATTTCTGTTTTCAATGTCAATGTAACTCCACTTTATGGAATATATAATTTTTTGATATTTATTTGTTGTATGCAAGACTGGACTGAAAACATCTACAAATCAAGTGAATGGGAAAAATAGGTATGCTTGCTGTAATCCAAAGGAATAAATTGAACTTCTCTAACAGCGTCTTCATCGATTGGTTGCCCTACACATATATGCTGTCCATCATATTTGGAAGTTTCACATGTTCAGTCATTGCTCTGCTTGTTTGTCACTCAAAAAATCACATGCTCTGCTTCAACACCGCCGGGAAATCTTTTATTTGTTGAGCAACTTGTGTCAGCCCGGTTTCTCACCAATCCGCTCTGACCAAAAGCTGCAAACATGCCGGCTGGCAAGTTGTCCCGGGTTGCACTCCTTTGATTATAATGACTGTTCCCTCTTTATTCAGTAATAACTTTCGGTCCTTTTTCCAAAAATGTTTAATAGAACTGCAGTTTTAAATCATGAATTCATATCAACATTTTGTGTGCAGCAATGTTACTCTATGTATTGTTGGAATCGTGTCAAAAGCCTAACAGTTTAACTGCACTCACGGTTTCCTCGTTTTACTCACGCAGTTTAAACTAACTTCTGCTTTACCCATTCGTGCACCTCATTGAGTTATGTATCTTTCTGTGAATTATTCATAATTCGTAATGCCCCGCTATAATCCGGTTTATAATTTTTAGGAGTATACGATTACATAGCTTCTTTGGTCTCTAGGTATGAACTATCTTTTGTCACTCTCCCACACTCTAAATTGGACAGAGTATTCACCAACTGCCCAGGCATCTTTTCTTCAGCATCCGAGGCACCAATTTCCTCCAGAGACCACTGCTTACTCTTATTTGAATCTAAAGTATATTATAAATATTTATATAAATCTTTCTCTCGATCTCACCAAACCGGATTCCGCATTCACAACTTCGCAGCTGCAAACACTACTTGGAATTCGACAGTAGTTTTGCTCTTTTCTCCTACTGTGGTAGGTATCAATCACAGTCTCATGGTTGGCGCCACTCTGCGAACTTGGTTCACTGTGACCCGCTTTTTGTTGATGAAAATGACGATGATGATAATGATGATCTGCATCATGGTGCACTATGCAACTGTGTAAACCGATTTATCCGTAATAACGATGGCAGAATGTGTGCAAATCTTCACAAGCAATCCACAAGCAAATGCTGAGGACAGTTACGAAAATGGAAACACGAAATAAAACTTTGTAGAACAACAACAAATTGTTTTTATATGGCTACTGAATGAGGTTCAGTTTTGTAGGCACTGCAAGTGCCAAAATCACTGCACATTTAAACCAGTGATTAGTTTATTCTGTTTTTGGTCTGCATTGTTTTTCATTTAGCTCAAACGGAAGTTACCCGTGTTGTCACCTTCTTTTGTGATCGCATGAAGTGAGCCGACAAACGAACATAAAATAAACCGCGATATTCGGCAGAATCGTACAGAGAAAACCCCAGTCAACAACGGATTCGGACGGTGTTGTCTCGATGGACTCATTATTCATTACATTCCAATCGAACTTATTCGGTTGCATTTAAGTTAAACAAATCGGTCTTGGGATACCTTCAAGTTCTTTGGTCTCTGAATTGAACCGTTTGAAGTAAAATCTATGAAGTTTGACTTACTTATTCGTGGGCCGTGTTCATTAAGTGTGGCTAATTCAATCGCAAAAAGAACCCCGGCTACAATGTTGTGTAGAGGTGATAGAGATTAACCAATGGGAATAGAAGGATCTTTGTGTTGCATCGAATCCACCTTATATGCATGTGCCGGGATATGCTGCATGATTTCCTGTTTCTTTGTTTTTATGAGATTTACTTGGTAAATTTTCTTTTTGTGCTAAGTTCAATACAAATAGTATGAATCATATGCATACGTTCGTCAGACCGACAGTGATGAATTCTCTGTGTGAAAACTACTTTCTTAGAGAGAGCGCAGACGCGCAAATTAAGTTAGTTCAACGAATAAATAAATAATTAATCTGGTTCGCTCACATTTTTCAATAGAACGAATGATCTTCAAGTTCATCAGGGTAATTTCAGTAAGGAAACCGAATGGTGTGTATCGTTGTTTCATTTATCTCTTTCTGTTTGTCAACTATCATCTGAGCTATTCGCTCACATTCACTTTGGAAAATGTCAAACAAGCAGCCGATTTTAATTTTCACCATAACAGCTGACAAAAATAATTCAGAAAAATCGAAGCAACGGATTGACGTGTTCCCACTATTTTTGTGAAAAAGAGACCTCATCAAAGAACTAGATTCGTGGATACTGGAAACAATGTGGAAGGGTTGGAGCTCTGGATGTGGATGTTGTTGTTGGTATGTTCTCCACCACCGACACAAACATATCCGTAGAACGTATTTTAAAACGTTAACCGAATCCCCGATTTTTCAATGCCAATTGTAAAAAAAATGTCTTTTGAGGACAATTTGCAAGTAACAAGAACATATATTGAAGTGTTTTAAAGTTCCAATAATTTATGTTCATTAATGCGATCGCTAATGAATTAGGCATATTATACCGATAATTTGGACGAAATTTATATGGTTAATTTCCCAGTTCGACTACGGTTATTCGTCATCAGAATGGTGATGCTGAGTGATCAAACATCTCCGTGAGTGATTTAGGGAATGCTAACCATCACATGAGTGTTTTGCATTGCTGCTATTGGTCCGTAATATATGCTTCGGCTGTAAACGTGTTTATTCAGCAAGAAAAGGTATTCATAAAAAACTTTTGATCAGACTTGAGAATGACTCTTAAGGCGATCTAGGATTCCCTTGCAAAATTGTACTGTCCAAATTCCAGGGACTCCTTTACTTTTGGCACTTTTTCCTACGTCTACCTGTGGGTTTAGTATAATGCTCCAATCGAACAACGTAGGTTGTAGAAAAAAAACAACGCCAATAACAGCACTTGACAAATCTGTGTGACAAGTTCATTGCGCCAAACGGTCGTTGTGTCCAATGCACTAACAATCTGGTAACGTAACCTGCGTTCATGACCTCTCACTCATTCAACTACCCATCAATTTAAAACCGCTCTCGGCCTTCCACTTTCCACGCACACACACAAACACACACACATCGATTACCACAATTCCATCATCTCTTCTTAAACTCTGATTTCCTTCGTAGATATATGTCGCCTCTTACCGCCTGTTTAATCTAATATAAATTGTGCTGTATTTAGGCAGTTGATTTAGCACCAAAAAGGAGCATGTTAACTATTTTGTGTTCCTATGGCTACTCAATCGGCATAATTCTACAAATAAAAG